GGGCTACTTAGATAAAGCCACAGTAATGGGATACTGACTTGCTCCATCTCTGAGGGCTGGCATAAGAGACACAGGGTCAGAGAGTCAAAGAATTATAGATCAAGAGCTGGAAGGGACCTCCTCAGCATATGAAGCTCAGGTAAAGTAAGTGACTTCTCAAGGTCACACAAGCAGTAAGCTCTGGAGGTGGGATTTAAACCCAGATCTTCTGACAGTCCCTCAAGCAGTTGTCTGGATGGCAAGGGGGAAGACAGCAATTTGAGCCAGCATTTATTGTGCACCTGTTGTACACATGGCCCTATGTGTTCATCCTCAGAGGGGATGAGGTCACCTTTGTTATGAATGAAGGGCTCCTTGGCACACCTTGATTCTTGAGGGCCTTCTTTAAAGTGAATGCCCAAAATCTGGGGCCCAGGATGGAAGAAAGACCTATGCTCTAAGGGTTTTGACTCCTAGTTAAAGCAATAGGTCCAATGCCATCCAAATGGCTCTCTTCAGGCCTTGATCAGTAACATTCAATCAGATGGCTACAGTATTTTTCATGGAATAAGTAGGTAAAAAAGAATCCCTGGCCTCCTTTAGGATATAGCTTAGGTGCTACCTCCATCCTACCTGAGGCCTTTCCAAATCCCCATAGACATTTACCCTCTCGCCATCTTGAAATTACTGTGCATTATTTTTGTTTTCACTTATTTGTGTAAACAAAATATCTGTTGTAATGATTCCCTAGTAGAATGTAAGCTTCTTGATGGTAAATTTCTGTTTTGGTCCTTGCATGCTCAGTGCCTCAGCACATAGAAAGTAGTTAATCAATATTTGTTGACTTGAAGGTGGTGGGAAGAGAGAGAAGATAACAGGAAGAGAAAGAAACAGATAATTGAAGTAACATTTTCAAGAAACTGTGAACTCAACCAGAATCAAGGTTACACACTGTTTTTTATATGTCTAGCCAAACTGCCTTCTACAAACCTTGTGGGGTGCACTAGCAATGATAAAGGAGGTAATCATAAAAAAAAAGAGGGAGGGAAGCAGAAGCCACCCTTAAGATTTCAAATGCCCTTCTGACCTGACAACCAGGCCAGCCTGATGGGTCATTTTTTTTTTACTTCAAATTGGGATCTAAGTATCTCCTCGAGTCATAAATTTAGAACTAGAACCCTAGAGGTGATCTAGTCCAACTCCTTTATTTTACAGATGAAGAAACTGAGGCTAAGAGAGGTTAAGTCATTTGTCCAAGGTCACACTGATAATGAAGGACAGAGTTAGGGTTCAAACTGAGGTCTTTGATTCCAAATTCAATGATCTATACTACTCTACACACACACCACACACACACACACACACACACACACACACACGTATGTGTGCGTATGGATTTGGAACCTGAGGGCCTGGGTTTAAACCTCAGGTCAGCTACTTCTAACCTTTGTGACCTTGGGTAAGTCACGTCCTTCCTTTAGGCCTGAACTTCTGTCAGCTTCAGTTCCTTCATCTGTAAAATGAAGTTGGACTAGATGGCGTCTAAGGACATACCTGGATCTAAATCTATGATCCCATGTTAGGATATATACATATGTGTGCATATACATGAATATGGGATACATATTTATACTCATATTTACTTGTATAGCAAACCATGTGCAAGTATAGGCTTATATAATTGTGTCCATATACCTATTATACATATATATACACACATATATCATATATCTACACATTGCACATGTATAATATGTGTATAAACACATATGCTTTCCTACACAAACATTATACATATCACATATATGTACTATATAATATACACACATGCGGGCAGCAAGGTGGTGAAGTGTATAAAGTGCCAGACCTGGAGTCGGAAAGACTCATCTTTCTGAGTCCAAATCTGGCCTGAGACACTTACTAGCTGTGTGACCCTGGGCGACTCACTCAACCTGGTTTGCCTCAGTTTCCTCATCTGTTAAATAAGCTAGAGAAGGAAATGGCAAACTCCTCCAGTATCTCTGCCAAGAAAGCCCCAAATGGGGTCACAAAGAGTTGGACATGACTGAAACAACTGAACAACAACATATACATACCTTCACATAGAAATGTAATTTCTTTTATATGTGTGTGTGTGTGTGTGTGTGTCCCCTAATCATAGGATTATAGACTTAGAAGTAGAAGGGACCTTTGATATTATCTAATCTAACCTCATTTTAAGAATAAGAACGTGAGGCCTAGAGGGGTGACCCAAGGTCACAAAGGTTGGAAGTAGCCAACCTGGGATTCAAAGCCAGGTCCTCTTACCCAAAATCTAATGCGTGTGTGTGTATGTGTGTGTGTATAAAATAAACTCTGTGCCTTTTTATCCAAATGACACTAGACAGATGAACTGTGTTAAATGTGTCACCTTCCAGACCCACTAGTAGTGCAGTTAGACCAGCCTCAGTATTTGGGGTGCAACAGTTTGTGAAATATGGGTGCTGGGTAGAGCTGGGGACATAGCTCTTACATAGAACTTGCAGAGAGAAGGAAGAATTTCCTAGTGAGGCCTCTGTCGAGAGTCTCATAATTTGTAGGCCATTATTATGTAATTAATTTCTCTTCTTCAGAATCTAGCACCAATAAAAACCACAATTCTTGGATGATCTTTCTGTGCAGAAGACAGATCAAGACTGAGGAATTTAACAGCTAATCTTACCTTGAAACTGCATTTAAAGCTTTGAGTGGGTGTGCCACCAAAAATTCCTTTGGCCACTACAAGGACCCTTACTTATGGTATCTTTAAATCTGCTTCCTGCAGTGGAAGCTCGGTCCACATTCCATTTACATGGGCCAATGGCCCTATTCAACGACTGCATTAGGATTACAGGCCTGCAGATTATAAACAAGACACCTGCAATCACCATATTTATAGTTTTTAAAGGCTGCCTGGAGAATTTTAAATGGCTGTCAGCAGATTTTGGTGGTTTTTTTTTTACATGCTAGGGTTAACATTTTCACAATTTTCACTAGGCAAAACAACCTACGGAGGTAGCTTGAGGTATATGATCTCATGGCTAATTGAACAGCTGCACACAGACATAGGGAGTAACCATTTCTGAAGAAACTAAGTATTTAGGAAAACCATTCCACCAACAGTAGCAGGGATGGAAATTCTTGTGCTCTCTTTGTAAGTCCTAGGAAGCAACAAGAGAAGCTTCTTCTCACCCTCCCACTTGCCCTAATAGGGGCGTCCAGAAGGGGAATTTCGACCTTTGGGCCCATTCTATCTCCAGCCTCTTTGTTAAAGGTGGCAGTCAGCAATGATGTGGACTCCTGCCTACCAGGGAACAGGCCTGAGCCTGCAAGGCCCACAAAACAGCTGCTAGATGATAATCACCTCTGGCCAGTAAAGTGCTGTGATGCAGTGATCAAAACTAAAGTTAACCCAGTGATTTAAACTAAGAAAAACCCGTTTTAAACCTTAGGTAACAAGCTCTAACATGGAGAAGGGTGGGGGTGGGGAGAAACCTTATCATGAAAATATGGGGAATAGTTACCTGGCTTTTCTTTGAAAACAAATTCTTAAAAAAAAACAAAACCAAAAATAAAACGAACCCCAATCTATTCCCATTCTAAAACTGAAGAGTGAAAGCATTACCTTCACAGTTTCCGTTTACTGCCTCAAAAAAGCTCTATTAAATGCTTTCTTCCACAACACAGGTAAGTCTTCTAAATAAGGTGTCACCATAATAGTGACTAACAAAGGTGATTTCACAGTGGCCAGGACCAGGGCTGTTTTATCAGAACAGCAGGTGTTAACTGGGCCCTCTAAAAAGATGGTGGATTAAAGTCTCATAGTATTAAGGTCTTACAACTTTTCCCTGGCGTGTCTGTCTAACACAGCCAGATTTGGCTCATTAAGGGACTTGTAAGTCTCCCAAGGAGGATTTTATACTGCGGATGTCTGTCTTCTCACTGTCAATGATCCAGTTCTTTACTCCATTTACTATTTTTCATTTTGCTTTACCTAGGAGTGTCAGTTCGACATTGTTTCTAATAAGAGCCTCCTAACATTCATTACTAAGCCAGGACCTCTGAAATGAACCACGCCCTGAGTCTCACTGCTAGGCTTATGGGTGGGAGTGACACACATAACTGAATAAGGAGAATTAACTCAGATATCTGATTTGGTAAGGAGCTAACCAGCAATGTAGTTGGCCTGTTGTCCATCATTTGGTCAAAATGCTCTGCTGCCCTAAGCAGTGTTATTTTAAACCTCTCCAGGGACTCTTGGCCAAATTTAAAGCCATCTTGGCAAGCCCAGAAAAGTAGCCAGTATAAGGCTAAATGAGAGACGCATCCCTAAATGGCTGTCTATAAAACCTTCGATTTTGTCTCATTTACTCCAGTTCCACAAAGGGAAAGGTGAGGAGAACAAGAAAGATACTATTTAACTGCCTTTTTGAATTTACCTACCCAGGCAGGATATTCCAATTGTAGGGGTGTGGGGAGCCTTGGGAGTAAGAGAGGAGAGAGGGAGAGAAGGGAAAATGAGGGGAGGAGAAGGGGGGGAGGGAAAGAAAGTGGGAATGGGGGTGGGTCAAACAATCTGCTCACCTCGAAAGCCACCTCACAAGCCTTTTTAACGCCCTTGGCACTCAATACACAATCTGCGCATGACGTTTTAATAATGTGCCATACTTTCAAAAGGTGGGCTCTCATTAAAGAGGTTCATTTTAGGATTTTTCAGCAGGGTGAAAATACAGTAAAAAAAAACAACCAAAAACTGAAAGGAGGGAGGAGAAAAGTTGAAAAAGCAAACAGTTAAATTATTTTAAAGAGTTCAAAACAGCACAAACCATCTTATCCAATTTGTTTCTCTCTCTCTCTTTCTCTCTTTTTCCTCTCCAAAATTTGCAACCTTTAGGAAAAGTGCAGCGTCCTTAACTACCACCAATGTTGCACACGGCCAGAGGCTGGCACGCAAACAGTTAACCCCAACAGCACCTTCGGTTAAGTGAGAGACCACCGCTAACCTGTATGCACTCTGTAATGGGCTTTTAGATGGGAGGATTTTCCATAGACTTTGCCACATCCACTGTATGGACACTTGTGTCTCTTTTCAGAGGCTAGTTTCCCCTTTGCAGACACTCCAGGGTGGAGGAGGGAGAGAGAGCCGGGCACCCCACCAGAATCCTGTCTCTCCTCGGGGCTGTGGGAAGGGCTCGACCCAGATTCGGTGGTCACGTCGCTGTCGGATCCCAGGTCTTCATCGGGGCTTTCGATACTGTCACTGCAGAGGGAAGGGGTCGCCAAGGGTCGGTATTTGTTCAGGTCCAACAAGCTTTTGGCGATAGTGACCAGAGTGCAGTAGTCCTTCCATGTATCCCCGGGGTCACCGTGCTCCTTCGTCCCCTCTCGCTCGGGCATCCTCAGCCTCTCCGCCTCGGCGGCCCCGTGCTCCGGCTCCGCAGCGCGGTTGGAAATAGAAACCAGGCACTGAGCAGCCACGAAGTCCATGTAGGCGGCTGCGGACATGGTGCGGGCCAGAGGGCGCAGGGAGGAGCAGGAGGTACCCAAGTCCAGCGGCACCAACTTTCCACCCCCCTCCTGTCGTACCTCCTGGAGTTTGCTTGCTGGTTATTATTATTATTATTTGCTTTATTATTTTCCCCCTCTTTTTCCCCTACGATCAATCAGCTCGTCCTCTCTCCCCCGACGAGCGAGATCGCGGAGCCAAGGGGGCGGGGAGGAGAGAGCCGTGCGCTTTGGAATCCGCGCAAGAAGTCGACCTCAACCCCTCATCTTTACGTAACAACCAGTGACTCCAAACGCAGCATCCACAATCCGGGGCTACCGTGGGGGGCTTTCTCACTCTCCCAAAGCCCTCCCTTACCTGGGACTAGTGGGCCCCTCCAGCTTTCCAATCAATCCCAATAGACAAGCGCAACGGACTCTCTAATAATAAGGCTGTCTTGGAAAGATGCCACACGTGGCGATTTCAAGTTATGATTTCTAGTGGAAAAAAAAAAACCAAGGCGTTCCGGGAGGGGTGACAGCTTTTAAAAAAAAAATGCAGAAGGGGGCTCCGCAATTCCCGGGTGCCCAATTTTCTTCGTTAGATTTCTCAACGCATTCACCCAAACCAAGCAAAAAAAGCGTTTGGAGATAGCAGAAAAAAAATCTAGGTCTAAGAGATACTTTTGCCCCCGTGCACAGCCCGATCCACTCCCCCCTCTCCAGCCGGTCCTCACTGTTCCGGCATTCTCTTGCTCAGTAACAATTTCGCAGAATCCCATCACGTCACAATCCAAACCCCCTCCAATTGGCCGGCCAGAAGGGTGATTCAACTCTGTTTACTTTCTCCCCCCGCCAGTCAGAATGGCCTTTTGGAGGAGAGGGTGCGTCTATAACTGAGGCGTGTGGCCAATCCGACTGTTCCATTTCAATGCCTCGTGCTACCCCTACAGCCCTTCAGCCTGGCGCTTAAAAGGGTAATGGCCAGGGGCGGGGGTGGGTCTAAGGTCTGGGGCTTGCGGGCTTGGAGTCTTTCTCTAGACCCTTTTCTCTTTGCTACACCGGGTTCCATTCCACACGTGTGGGTTGCTGATCCGCCGCACGCAGTCAGCAGGCTGAGTACCTCTAACCACAATAATTTAGATTTCCATTTCCGGTCTGTAAGCAGTTAAATGCCTTGCTGCAACTGCTACAGTCCCAGCAACGAGCCTTCCAATGAAAAGTAAGTTGGCTGATGTCACTGACATTAGCTCAGCCAATCAGAAAAGACTTTCCAAAAAGTAAGTGTGAACACTTGTAAACCGGGTAGTTTTGTTCATTATAGAGCTGTACAGAGTACTGTTTTGGTTTGATGATAGTAAAATTTGGATTTGAACAAGGAGAGGAGTTATGAAGAAATGTAATCTAATCCAAATGCAATAAAGAAAAAAACCAACACATATAACATAAAAGCAAAATATTAAAAAAAACCCAAATATAGAAATCTTTTTTAAAAAATCTTTTTAACACCCCCCCCCAAATATAGTTCATTCTGGATGTATTTCAAGGGGGAGAGCGTGTTGCTTTTGACTGACTGGGTGTTCCATATTAACTTTTTGCAGACAGGTGATAGATGTGGGAGTTATCCATTTTGTCTATGAGTTACCTTAAGTTTATAACATTATACCCCATGTACAAAACCATTTTTTTCCCTACAGATATTTGTAGTGGTTCTTTTTGTTTGTTTCTTTTATAATTCCCCCCATTTTTTTTACTGTAAAGAAAAAAGGCAAATGTTTTCTCATGGTTCCTGCTTCAGCAGCCTGTCTTAGGACACATTAAAAGGTCCTAACCGGGTGGTTTGGGGTGGGGATGTGGGAAACAGTTCATTGACTTTCTTTATGTGCCTGAGACATAAAAATGATGAGGGATTTTGGGGGTAAAGGTGCTTTTGAGAAAATCTTTTTTAAAAAAAAATTCATCCAGTTAAGATATTAGTTTTATTTAGAATTTAGAATAGTTCCTGATTTTATGACCAATTTATCTCTAAAATACAGAGTAGATAAAAGTTTAGTTTTAAAGTATCTTTTCATTGTCTATCTCAGAGTTTTCAACCTTCTGCATTTCATTCATTATTTAAAATTATTACAATTTAATATGTGCACATCACTAAGTTGGCATTGTTACAAAGATGAATATGATACAGTTACAAAGATGAATAAGATACCTTCAAGGATCTTACATTCTATCAGAAGAAATAAGATGTGTCCAAATAAGTAGAAGTCAAGGTAGGATGAAACAAGTATCATAAGAGAGGGAGTTCATTGGAGGTGGGGATTAGAGGATCAGAAAGTCTTCAAAGTGCAGGCCACATTTGAGGTGAGTCTTGAGAAATGGGTATGATTTCTCAGAATGAACATTAGGAGAGACAGAGAGAGTCCTTAAATCAAAACAACGCTCTAAGCTAAGGTCACATGGGTAGGTATCAAAGGAACAGTGTGAACAAAAGAATAGATGTGGAAAGACAAAAAAGTTGGATTTAGGAAATGATAACCCAGTTTTACTGGAGCTTAGGCCAAAAAGAAGGGATAGTAGGAGATAGGGCTTAGAAAGATGGGTTGAAGCCAGGATATAGAGGGCCTTGAATGCCAAGTTGAGGAGTTCAGACTTTGCCAGGAAGGAGCTGATGAAAGTTTTTGAATGGGGGACGGGTGGTAGATTGTGATCAAAGCTTCAAATTAGTATGATCAGTCTGGCAATGGTATATAAGATGGGTTGAAGGGTGAAGAGAATGGAGGTAGGAAGACCATTTGAGAACTCTTGCAATAGTGAAAGAATGAGAACCAGTTTATGAAGCTAGTGGGAATAGAAAGGATGTGAGAGATTTTATCAATGGTTGATATGGTGACTGTTTTCCCTTCTTACTGCCATATGCCCTGAAATTAATTAAAGGGAACTAATTTTGGTTGGGGAATTTTGTGACATCCCTTGAGATACTTGGAAACATATGGAAGTGTCACCAAAAAAGAAAGAAAGAGAGAAAGAAAGAAAGAAAGAAAGAAAGAAAGAAAAGAAAGAAAGAAAGAAAGAGTTCCTAAAAATATGTCCTAAAGCATGTCATGAATAAGGCCTTATATTTTAACTTTAGCACTTTCATCCTTGTTACCTCATTTTCTCTCACAACAACCTGAGAAGGCACAGAGAAGCCCCAGTATTTATCAGTGCAGAGACCTCCCACAATGATGAGATAATGGTGCAAACAAAGCAAAACAGCCTGCTAAGGCAGGAAATACAGGAATCATCATTATCCCAGGGGAGGAAAGTAGAAGGAACAGTTGGATATTGCCTTAGAAGATGTGGTTTTGAAATCTGGCTCTATTTATGTTTGTTTGATCTTAGCCAGTTACCTACCCTCTCTCTTATGCTGTTGCACAGCCTCTTCCTAGCCCTGGAGCAGTCCCTATGGCCCCATCCTGTTCCCTGTGTCTGCAGACTTCTTGGTCTGTCTCTCTATGCTGACCTGGGCCAGACAAAGGACTTACTGTGATTTTTTTTTTATTCTGGATTTCTCCATTAGGATTCAGTCTGGCTCACCTTATAGATCTGTTTGGAGGAATTGTGGACTGGAGTTCATTTGCACTGATTCCTTCTACTTTGCCGTCTTTGCTGTGCCCTGATGCCTCTGTTTCTAATCTGCCGATGTCTGATCAATCTCCTTGTCTGCGGAATAAAGAAATTGGACTCTGTGATCTCTAAGGTCCCTTCTAGTTCTAAATCCTATGAACCCATTTGGTAGAAGAGGAAACTAGTACATGGAAAAGTTAAGACATGTACATAGGTCACACAGCTAGTTGGTTCTATTTCTCAAACTAGAACTCAGATCTTCTGATTTTTAGGCTCTTTCTCCTTCCACCAGAGCAAGTGCCTCCTCAGTTAAATGAAACAGGTATAATACCACAAAATAAAGTTGGTTTTTTTGGGGGGGCAGTCGGGGTTAAGTGATTTGCCCAGGGTCACACAGCTAGTGAGTATCATGCGTCTGAGGCCGGATTTGAACTCAGGTCCTCCTGACTTCAGGGCCAGTGCTGTATCCACTGTACCACCTAGCTGCCCCCCAATAAAGTGTTTGTATGATATAAAATAAAATATAACCAGAGACTCCTAACTCACATGGTAGATTTGAGCATTACATGACATTATGAAAAATAACTATTCTGTGATCTCCCTACCATATTTTGTAGTCTGGGTACCTCAATTTACCTTTCCTTAGAAAAACGACTGATCTGAATTTTGTGAGTTCTTTTCCATCATGATAGTTGAGAAAAGCATCTAGTGTCAGTTTATCTTGCAGGAGGCACAATGTCAGAACAATTGATTAAAAATACATTTACTTTCCTAGTTGGGTGTGAGAGTTACCTGTCTCTTCTATGTAAGGATGGCCCCAAGGGGATTCACACATTACCTATTGGCTGTCAACCTTGGCCTCCTGTCTTTTGGGAAAGTTAACAGCCAGGCTCTAGAAAAGAATCTATTTCCTGGGGCTAATTTGTGTGTGTGTGTGTGTCTGTAATATATGTATATCTATATATACATATATATTTTAAAGTTTTATTGATGTCTTTTATATTTGTATATGTATGTATGTATATGTATATATGTGTAATATATGCCTTAAGTTTTATCGATGTCTTTTGTATTTATACCACAATCAGTTCCTGACATATACAACTCTCCACTGAACCCTTCCTTGTAACAAAAAGTTAAGCAGAACCAGTTGATATAGCAACAACAGTTGGTAGCATATGCAAAATCCCTTACCCACAATCCCCTATCTCTTTTCAGAGAGGAAGAAAGTATGTTTCAACATCTCTTTGCCTAGACCAAGATTAGTTATTGTAATTAGTCAAAGTTCAATTGCTTTCTTATGTTTTAATTTGCATTACTGTAGTTATGATATTAGGTATATATATATATATATATATATATATATATATATATATACAATACACATATATACAATATACACACATGTGTTATCTGTATATGCATATACATGTGCATGTAGGTATATACATACATATATACATGTAGCTATACATTTGTTCAATCATTTTTCAGTGATATCTGACTATTCACTGACCCCATTTGGGGTTTTCTTGACAAAGATACTGGAGTGGTTTGCCATTTTCTTCTCCAGCTGATTTTACAGATGAGGAAACTGGGGCAAACAGGGTTAAGTGACTTGGCCATGATCACACAGCTAGCAAGCGTCTAAGGTCATATTTGAACTCAGGAAGATGGATCTTCCTGACTCCAGGCCCAGCACTCTATCCATTGTGCCACCTAGCTGCCCTACATGACTATGTGTAAGTTTATATATGTGTATATGTATGTATATATGTGTATATATAAACCCACATATACATATGTGTACACACACATATATATGTGAACCCATACACCTAGATAGATAGAGAGAGAAATAGAGAGATATAGATATGTAGGTATATGTATATATAGTCACACATACAGACATATAGACTATTCCAGTCTCCTAGCCATGTGGGAGATAGAAAACTCTTAGATTAGCTGCAGTTGTAGAAATGGAACTGAGGACACCTACAAAAGATCTTAGCCAGAACCTATTCTCCCCAGAGACTGAATTGGTATAGGAGGAGTGTGTATCTCTAGGGTATTGGGAGGAAATGTTTGTTCTTCTCTTGTGGTTTTATCTAACTATTCTTTTCTAAACACTAATTCATATTAAATAGGGTACACCAGTCACTGTGGCTGACAGTAAGGGTGAAAACGAATAAATAACTTGAGCCAATAGCATTAGAGAAGCAA